GTTTCTTGTAGCGGATAAGTTGGAAATTGGACTGCTACTATAAAAGTTAGCCTCCGTATTTAGAAAAGAGATTTGCTACTCAAGCTTTATATTTAGAGAGAGTTTTATAACTCTTTTAGAGAGAACTCTTTCTTAAAACTACTACTCTTTATTTATGATTGCTTTTGCTTGTTGTGGGATGCTTTTACAAGTGAGCCAAGCATCCCTATTTATACTACTTGAGCTATCTCTAGATCCTTCTCTTAGTCTTATCCATAATTTCTTCTACACACTTCTTCTTCTTGGGCTTCTTGGGCTTCTTGACTTTTGCTTTGAATCTTGGACAAGTGGGAGAGCCCAAACCAAAGTTTATAATTCAACATATACAACTAGCTGCTATGCCAAAGTACTTTCAAATATGTTCGGATGTGAAAATTCGAGTACACAATCTTTAATAAGTCATACTTCTGCACGTTTTTCAGCTAACTCTTCACATGCGGATTATATACTAACATCTCCCGGAGAAGTATCAATTCTCTGGAATATTTAATTAGTCGTCTATATAATGATAGACTCTCAGAAATGTATTTATCTATATTGTGTATATATATATATAAAAACGTGTTTGTATAATTTTGATAAAGATCTTAAACTCCAGTGGAGGAATCTAAATTGTATACGTCTCGAAATGGCCGGCATGCGTACCGACGGTACCATCTACTAGATTTTCTTTCATCGACTGTGATTAATGATTGGTTGTTCTATTTGGCAATAACCACGTAACCTCACTTAATTCATTCGTTTTTTTTGGTGTTGCTAGCTTTAGCTTATTATTCATATATTTTGCAATCATCATCATCATATCTACGAATGATTTTGGGCACTCAAAATATCAAAAGAACGGGGTATGTCCGCATGGGATAAATAATTACTATCCAACTTTGAAAATTAATTATTGTACTTTATATCAAACATTTATATGTAAGAAGTCTTCAAGTATGTATCGTGTAGCAGCTGCATGTGATCATTTTGAGATATTATTTTCTTTGATCCTCGCATAATCAACTATTACTTATTATATCGCTTCCAAGTATTGAAAAGCTATTAAACTCCAATATTTGTTCATGAGACCACAAACTTTGGAGTGTGTGAAGTAGACATGACTTAGTGGATTCTTGGTTTGTTCGATTTCTCCTTTTAACCATGTGATGTCCTATTAACATACAATGATCATCATCACACTTTATTTCTCCCACTGCTTTGTTTTGTTTCTTAAGGATTGCTTCCATCTGCTTCTATTTTCATATTACTATTTTAAGACAATATTGTAAGCTTTCAAAACAAGTTATCGAATAACTATGTATATTATACTGACTCAATCGAATGAAATTACTTTTATACTTTATACATATACAGGTATATATATTTCTACTTAAATATCACATATATTACTAGATCTTATATATCAAATTAGTCACAAATTAACTTAGAAGAGAATCTTTTGATAAAGAAAAATGTTAAAACTGTTTTCACCTAAAGCAGATATAAATTAGGGTTTAGTGATGTTAAAACTGTTTTCGCTCAGAAAAAAAGAAAGTGATGTCTAGTAAATGTACTTGTGTTTAAAAAGGAAGTCATATGACTTAATAAGGTACACGAGGCGTGCATTAGTTAATCTACAACCTTTTGTTAATATATTCTCGATAACAGCATGCCCATGCAAATATACACAGGGACCATATATATATAATACTATATATGTGAATTGTATTTCATATACGGTTCCATATACATATATTATATATATATATAGTCATTGTAAGTTTACTCAAAAATACCATATCTCTTAAATCGAAGAATCATAACATATCTTAAGCAATTTTTTTTTTTTTTTTTTTGAACAAATCTTAAGCAAATCCTATAAGTCTTTATTCTGATGATTTACATAAAGAAACACCATCTTGAAGTGATGGTAGTTTTTTTTTTTTGGTAAAAAGTGATGGTAGTTCTTACATCTGTGATAGTAATCGTGATGGATTTGTCCCAAATAAAGATAGTAAGTGATATGGTAAACCGGTCAGGATATCATTATAGATCCAAGTTCACTTTTACTTTTTAGTAGCTAGTGACTGCAATGGCGGCTGCAAAATATGGTGGACGATCACAATTTTGAGGGATAAAAGATCCTTATATGTCCTACCTTACCTAATTATATCAACACATTGATACTTGATAAAAATGTTTACTTAACGAATTTATTAACGTCTGATAAATTTATACATATAAATTAAATACTTATGCATTATCCATTTCATAACGATTTGTATGTATATTATAACCCCTAATATTTTCGTTATTTTATCTTAAGAGTATTAGTTAGATGTTTTAACAAGCTACTATTATATATAACTTAACGTAATATATGTTTGATTAATTTGGTATCGATACTCTTTAAAAGTTGGATATTCACGTTTACTTGTTAATTCGGGACCTTCTTCTTTGCCGTCCTATAATTGCCATTCATATCACGTATTCGATTTGTGTTTTCTCATCTGTATATAGAACTCCGTATATGATCTATGGTATTAAAGATATAAATGAATTTGACTGCTTAATCAACGCATTTATTCCGTTTTCCCTTCGAGGATAGCGAAGTCTGGCCACGTTGCACTACCACAACCATTGCTTTTTAACAAGTATATAGTCGCAATTCTTCTAAATTTTGGAGGCTTATGATATTGATAGGGTTCTCATATGTTCATCTCCCAAAGCATCTTCGTCTTTCTTATTTTATTTTATTTTATTTTCTTATTTTCATTTTATTCATACTTTAATAAAGGAAAATCGAATCGCATACTTTCTTCTCTATATTTATCTTCTTATTCATCATCATCATCATCATCTTATTACTTACTTTATAGAACAACCAAACCCTAGATTTGCTGTTGAGGCTCAGGACCGTACAAACTGAAAAGTTTAGGTAAGAAAACGCATCTCATGTTTCCGGTCTCTAAAAGAATTAGATCTATAAAAGATCATAGTTAAACCCTAATTTTCTTCGTTTTTAATTATATTTTGTGGATTTCACTACATTATCAGCCACTCGTTTTATAAAAGATTCAAAACTCTAAAGGATATTTATGAGATTAGAATTTAAATTGTTTTTTTTTGGAAAATTCATTTCCCTTAAATTATCATTTCTGCAAATGAATTTACATTTTTTTGGGTTTTGATAATAAATATAGAGATCTTGACCGTAGGCATTATGAATACCATCCCTTGGAAAGATGCAAACGACGACGTTAGGACAAGACATGAAGGAGAAATCGAAGAAGCAAAAGAAGAAGCTGTCGTAGCCGTAGCCACCAGTGGAAAAACCGTGACTACGAAGCCGCCAACCTCGACTTCTTCTTCTTCTTCTTCGTGGATGAAATCAAAGGATCCAAGGATCGTTAGGGTTTCACGCGCCTTTGGAGGCAAAGACCGTCACAGCAAAGTGTGTACGTTGCGTGGTCTACGTGACAGACGTGTGAGATTATCAGTCCCCACTGCTATCCAGCTCTATGATCTTCAAGAACGCCTCGGCCTCGACCAGCCTAGCAAAGCCGTTGACTGGTTGCTCGATGCAGCCAAAGAGGAGATCGATGAGCTTCCTCCGTTGCCCGTCTCGCCCGAGACTTTCAGTCGTTTCAACCATCATCAGTCTTTCTTGAATCTTGGTCAACGGCCGGGTCAAGATCCGACCCAAATCGGATTTAAAATCAATGGGTCTGCTACTACTACTACTAGCTGTGATGAAAACCACAACGAGAGTGGTGATGAAAAGGATGTCTCTTTAACAAACAGTCATCACATTGGGTCTTATGGAGCCTATCAGAACATGGAACATCATCATCAACAACAAAATTCAAGTTTTCAGGCAGATTATCATCACCATCAACATCAACTACATAGTCTTGTCCCATTTCCATCACAGTTCTTGGTATGTCCAATGACCACATTATCAACAACAACAACAACAACTACACAATCTTTGTTTCCCTCATCGTCATCAGCTGGTTCGTGGAATATGGAGGCAACAGATCCAAGGCGAATGGTAAGCCATTTTCAAATGCCATTAATGGGTAGTTCTTCTTCTTCTTCAGCATCCCAAAACATTTCGACTTTATACTCATTGTTACATGGTAGTAGTAGTAATCGGATGTCGTCGGTCCAATTCAACGGGACAAGTAGAGGAAGTGATAATCCTATGTGAAATTAGATTATGGAAACAATTAAATGTTCGATGTGTTTTCAAGAGAGGGGACACGAAACAAAAAATAATACGGTAGTTAATTTTCAACTACTTTTTTCCTGATATATTTCTATACAAGTTAACGTTAACTTGTGGATCAATAAAATTACTATGTTAGCGTTCATGTGCTTTGAATTTTCTCATTTATGTATACGTAGCTTCTTCATATAGGATCTAACGACACACAATACAGATACATGGTACATGGTTTAGTTTACTTAGGTCTTTTTGTAGAATAAGTGACTAGAACAAAATGAATAAAAATTGAAAACGACAAGCTAAACAAATTCAGATTCATTGAAAGATAGCATGATAATGTGAAAGGATTGCAATCTATTAGCTATACTAGGTTACCTGAGGAATTATATATGAGATTATGTTTATGTTTGATGCGCAGCGCAGAACTCAAGTGGTGGATGTAACAAGATTGGATGATAATTTTGTAATCATTAGTCAAGATTTAAATCCATATAGTTCCAATTACCCAATAAAACACCTAACGTTATTATATATAATGTCATGTAAGTCTGACAAACATTTGACTCAATTACAAAGGGAAATTCATTGTGAATGGTTTTGAGCACACAACTCCTATTAACTAGCATACTAGGTCGCATTTGAACTTAATATGGTACTAATTAGTACACCTTTCCACTTAACTTAAGATCACGGTCGGGTAATGGTATCGTCGTTATATGTTGTTAACTCAAACAAATGTATCACATTGACATGCATGTTAAGTTGTTAACCAACAAATATTATTAGTCTACAATCAAGATACAATACACATGTATGATAAACAGACAATGAGAAGAGAAAATAGTTAATTAGAGGTAATAAAGACAAAAAGTTTTGTAAATTATGGTGTGTACGTTCTCTGATTGATTAAGAGTAAAAAGGCTACCGATCCAATGCTCTGTCACACTGTCATATATCATCACACTTTCTGCAAAAAGCTTTCTTGTCGATCTCTAGCTACGATGTAAACATTTATATATATTTTACAAATATATAAATTGTATATTTGAGATAGTCTTGCCATATATTGATATTAATGTCGAATATTTTGATGTACACTCTTCACTGTCACTTTTTTGTTGCTGTATACATCTTCGGATTTGAATTATCATTTTTTTTTTGTCAAAACTGTAACTATGACAACTCAATGAGACAAGCTCTGTTCCTTGCCACTGCACAATTTATATAAAAAATTATGTTTCACGTGATTTTTTTTTTTTTATATATATAAGATCGTCTGATAAAAATATAAAATTGAATTGTATTTTCGATTGCAAATCTCTAAAAACGAGTGTAGATTTTATGTATGCTGTATAAAAATGATTTGTTATTATCAAAGTGATATTTATAACGTTACTCAAAAAGCTGGCAATAATGAAAATAGTCTATACATTAGATAATGGGCTAACTTTCAAGGCCCATTATATTGAGATTTTGTTCGGCAAGCTAAAAAGCCCACAAGTTCGCCTCCGTGCTCTTCTTCGTCTGTGGATTTTTGTCCATGGGGGTGAGTTTTGCAATGGAGAAAGTTTCCTCTCTCCGGTAAGTATTCATACTTCCCTTAAACCTTATTGGATTTACTTTCTCGCAGTGTCGTTTGTTGCTTTCTACTGCATTTATTTGAACTCGATAACGATGTGTTTGATTCTTCGTTTTTTTTGTTGCTAATTTTATTGTTGGGTCTGATGATGTTTTATCATCTCTTATCATTGTTAGGTGCCAAAGTAAAGAACATTGTGTGAAATGAGTTGATTTGTTCCGTTGGTTTCTCACTCAAGAAATGGTTCTGCATGTTATGTTGGGTGAACTTGTAAGTTTGAATATGAGCAATGGAGTTGGGGAAGGTGGAAGAAGTCAGAGCAGAGAAAAGAGAAAGCTTTTTTCAATGCAGTGGCTCAGGTTTGCGAAGAGTGTAGAGGTTACTATGTATAAGGAACCTGCTCTTGATACGCTTATCGGTATAGCGGTTCAGTATATCTATAGCATTGGGAAGACTGCTCAGTTGTATGCTAGCATAGCTGGTATAGCAGAGGGTATCTCTCTGGACATTGTTCAGGCGTTAGAGGGTTTGGGATCTGGTTCTGGTATTTTAGTCACTTACTGTTGTCTTGCTGATGTAGTCAAGGATATTATTCGTTATTCAGGAGAAGCGGAGGAGATGCCGTTTGTTTATGCTCGTCCCTGTTTCTATGAGGTTGGAGCAGAACCTCCAGATGAACATATCCCGGTTTCTCGAAACCAAATTGTGTAATCTGTCAAAGGATACTAATGTAGGCACAATAGATGGAGAAGTTGTGAGTAAAGACAATGGACCATCTTTACGGAGTATACAACATTCTTTCAATTGTAGTAGGTCAGAAGTACTTAAATCTCCAAAGGATGTTCGACGTTCAACAGGAGAAGAAGAAGAAGAAGAAGAAGAAATGGAAGGTAATCCGTTTCTTGCCGCCCCTCTTCGGTTCGTGGAGAACGGAGTCTCACATGTGTTCGGCCCTCTGGAGTTTTTAAATGAATTTTTTGGCATCAATCACTTTCCTTTGAAGCATATGAGGAACAACCATCACATCCTATTGCTTGAGGCATCTGCTCCATCTGTTAATATCAACAGGATGAACAGGCTATCTGAATCCAAGGATGGAGAGAAGAACGGTGATGCAAGACCACAACAAACTTTGTTGCGTTTCAAATTTGCGACTCTAAAGAGACCTTCGTGTTTGACAACAAAGCGGAGTGTTCAGGGACACCGGTGGTTTCAAGAAGGTGAAGTCAATAGGGAGAAGAAGTCAAAAATAGAAGAAAATCATCAAAGAATTGACTTGGCAAATATCGTCTCAGATGTAAAATAGGTATTAATGTCATTTTATAATTTGTAGACAGAATAGCTTTGCATCCTGAATTTTGCAATTGTATACATTACTCTATAGGGTAAGAAATTTTTACTAATTCAAAATGATGGAGAAAAGAGAAGATTGACAATAACTATGTTCTTAGCACTTGTTATTTATTAACTAGACCTATATATATAAGCTGGTTACACAAACAAATAGTAGGAAGAGAACATGCAAAAGGGTTGAAAACCCAGAAACCAAAGGTTCTCTTCCTCTGTAAGGTTACTTCATTTACAATTCTTAAGTAACATACATAAAAAATTAACAGAAGCAAACTTCATTAATCAAGTCTCTGAATATCATCCTCTCAATATCTAACACTATCCCTGGAGTCTCACCTCCAAACTCCTTCATGTTCATGCTTTGACATTGCAGGTCGGTCCATATGAGGTCTTCTTTGTCATCCTCCAAGATACACTGTGAGTTGTTCTGTTGTAACCTATCAATCTCCAAACACAGCGTCTTCAGAAGTTGCTCCCCTTTTGATATTTTCTCCATTGCTGTAACTGGATTTGCTGTTAGACGTGGTTTGGTACAGCCTTCTGCAGTGAACCTCTGAGCTAGAATTTCATTAACTGTATCGAAAATGAGTTTTCTCCTGATTTTCTCAGCTTGATTTGTCTGCTGTTGTCTGCCTCTGTGTCTGTTCTGTTCCAGGATGAAGAAGAGTCCAGGGTTGATGGGGAGGCGTGCTTTGTTGAGCTGAATGGTTATCATGCTGTATTCAAGATCTCTTAGAAGCCCTGATGCCAACAGTATCTCCGAGATGTACTTGTGGTCGGCGCTTTTGAAGTTTGCTTCTTCTTCAGGGAAGCATTTGAGGAGAATAGAGTCTGGCTGTGTTGGATTCCGGTTATTATCAGACAATAGTATGGATCTGCAGACGCCAGCAGGCTTCTTTATCCACATAGATTCTTCAGAACGTAGAGTATCGTCATCTGGTAAGAGAACAAAGAAAAGATGAGAACATCACTCAAACCAAGTTAATTGACATTGAGAACTTGTAGTTGCTACGATTATTCTTTTGCAAGTTTCTCACCTTTAAAGCTAAGAGATATCTTCCTCACAGGGGACGGTGAATCCTCTTCGTCAAAGGCTGCATCAAGAACTGAGACGGGGCTTGGTTGTTCAACGGTAACTTTCAGAGGTTTAAGAGATGGTCTTTCTTGTTTGCTTCCAAAGTCTGGACTCTGCATTAGTCAACAGAAAGAGATTCAGTTAAAATGATACTAAGGGATGAAAGTGAGAGTTAAATATTCTGTTTTGTACCCTTTGTTTTGGGGTGTGCAGCTCTGGAGTCTCCAGCCGATGTCTGCTTGTAACCTCAGGTTGCTGAAAAGTACTGCGAGGTTTAATGTCCTGTTTCCTTCTCGGTGATGCTGACTCCATTTGCTGTCTACCTAACTGCCTTTGAATCTTGCCTGGCTCTGATTTTGGAGTAGTTGGTGGCGACTGCCTCTCAAACCCGAGCTTTTTGGGCTGCCTTCTTGGGCTAACGTTTTGCTGTTGGCTCCTACCTGACTTGGTATTTGAGCAAGAATCCGCCACCAAAGCTTGCCTCGACCTCACTGTCTTTGGGCTAGTGCTCTTGGTAGAATCTAGCTGGCTCTTGGAAAGGCCTGGCCTTGGGGTTAAGTCCATCGCGTTCTGCTTCCCGGAGGTGACTTTTCGAATTTGTCTGGGGCTGCCAACATTGACATTTGGCAAGGTAGGAGAGCTGGAAACTGGAGCAGACGGTTTCATTAGAACAACTGATGCAGGTTTGAAGTTCATGGCTGGACTTGTTGCAGCTGGAACTGGCTGGTGAGTGTTCTGCAACTGCTGTGTCTTCTCCATAGCCTCAAGTATTTGCTTAAGAGCTCTGAGATCTTTTCCCGCCTTTTTGAACTCCAACTGCGTAAGCCTCTTCTGAATTTCGCCATAAACGGTTGGTGCAGAGTCGCCTGCTTTCGTTTGCTTCCATGGAGCTGGTTCCAATGGAAACTTAGAAGCAGGTATCTTCTTGATCGAGCCAACGCTTCTAGATCTCTGTAGAGATGTTGGTTGTTCTACTCGGGACATTATTGGCCTTGGGGAGTCGCAGAACCGGTTCTCGTTTCTCTGCTCGGTATCAAAGTTGTCTGCAATGACTTCAAGTCCCATCAGTTTAGCAACCACACTTGAATTTGATCTCCTGTGACTCACTGTTACTGGTTCCTCTGGTGGACAACTTGATCTACTATCCAACGACAACCTTGGTGTCTCTTTCAACTTCGAACCCGTCTTGTATCCATTGTTTCTCATCTCCCTCTCATCATAAGAAAGCCGATGACTCTCCCTTAACTTAGCAGCCATGCATCTACCTTCATTCCACTCATTAGAACTCCGAGATGGTGATTGCAACAGGCTAGCCTTAGCTGAATTCAACTGCTGCTGCTGCTGCTGAGTGAAGGGTGCTGTTTCTTCACGTCTGGTTCTCACTTCTCTATTAATAGAGCCTTTCACAAGCTCCTTTATATCAAACATTGGTCCAGCATTGAGCTGTTCTCTGGTCAGATTCTCACCAGGCTGATCGAATTGAGAAGCTGCGGTACTGACTTCTGCAGATGAGAAGCTCGAGGAGCGTGGAGAAGATGAAAAAGAAGGCCGTGAAGAGGATTCAGAAGAGACTCTATGCTTATCCTTTACTGCAGACTTCTTCTTCTTCTTCTTGGTAATCCTCTCCTACAATTCCCATAAAACTCTTTTTTATTAGCTTTTTTTTTTTCCTCTAAATTCTCTTCTTAAAAGATGAGGCAAAAGGAAAAACGGGTTTTGGTTCTTACCGTTTCTTTATCACTTTCCATGTTAGTTTCACGGACAAGTTCTTTTATTTCTCCTGCAAAATGAGCCCTTTGTTCTTAGCTATGAACCACTAGTTATTGTTTATAGTGAAACTCCTCTGTTTCTTTGGTGGTCCTTAACATTAAAAACTGAGAGAGAAGTTAAGTTACCTGGAGGCAAAGACTTTTCTACGTCTCCGGCGACGGAGTCTGGTCTCGCCGGATAATGTTGTTGCCGGTAAAACACTTGAAAGATGCCATTCATGCATCCAAACTGTTTATTCAGATTTGGATTCTCATCTGACAAGTTATACAGAAGTTTTGCAGACATATCTTCTTCTTCTTCTTCTTAGCCCTTATCTCAAAAAGAACTTTCACAATACTTTCATATACTCTGATTTTGCAGTTACCAATGTCTTCTTCTTACTCTGTTAAGGTTTTAACGATCTTTTTTTTCTTTTTTTTTTTGTGTTTCAGAGGAAAAAGAAACGAAGAAAGTGACAAGAAGAAGCCAACATTAAGGACAAGCTGTAGCTTCTTGTGAAGTTATGACCAGACAAGAGATTAGCTTCTTTCGTTTTTTGCTTTGGAGGCTACCTTGAAGAAGAAAGAAGGAGATGAGATCATGAGAATGAGGTTTCTATCGGTTGTTCAGAAAAAAATAAGAGGTTTCTATCTTTAAAGACACATACAACTGTCAAAGGGAGCTTTGAGCCTTTGAACCATATATAATGTAATGAATGTACATGTGTTCACATGTGATAACTTTATTTCTTTTAGTATATTTATACCTACTAATCTTATATTCTTTTTTTATTTAGGAGCTCTGAAAAATTCTGCTTGGCACATGAAGAGGAATCTGGTTCACCTCTTAAGATGGAAGTTATGCACATGACAGCAGAAGGCTTAACATATTTTACAGAAAAAAAAACTAAATGATTTTGAAGTTCTCAAATTTTTGGTTAAATTTTAGATGTTATAAGTAATGCTAGGTTCACTTTGTATGTTTGTTGATTAATCTTAATGTGCTGCTGTGAACTAGTTAACTGCTATTCAGTAGAAGACAAAACAGTTAGTTGATGCGTACTAATTATAGTCCAACATTATGAAAATCATCTTTTAGAAAGCTATCTCAGCAGTCACTTAACATATCTGGTATGATTCACTATTATGGTATGTATGTATAGTTAACCATATTTTTGTAGCCTAACATGTGTTATAGAACAGATGACATTTTATCTTCTAAATTTTGATCTCCAATGCTCTTTTGGTTAAATAACAATAGTATGAAATAAATTAAATCTAATTTTATGTATGAGTCATAATTAGCTAAGTTTTTCTTACACATCCATGTGGACAAAATAATGTAGGTGGGTCTTTATAAGTCTTGGTGCCCTTTACATCTGCATGTGGAGTTTGTCAGAAACACACATCGTATTTTGAAAAATAAATCTATCTATCTAAAAGGATAAGAGAAATGATTGTTTGTATTATAATGGCAGCACAAAATCAAAATAAATTATTATGAGAGGAAGTGGATTGGTGAACTGGAAGAAAGCTTGCATGGTCTGAGATTGGTGGGTCTTACAAAGAATTGTTCAAACAGAGATTTTTTTTCCTTTTATTTTTATTTTTGTTTTTGTCGACCAACAAAGATATTATTTATTTGTTGAAAGTAACTAATCTTATAGCCTTTTCCAATAAAAAAACTAATTTATATTAAATGTTTTTATGCATAGATTTAAATAGTTACTGAGAGACTGATGCATGACAGAGCTGTTAGAATGTAGAGTGATAAAATATACTTTTATGAATTGAACTGAGATAAGAGAGTGAATAATGATGTTTCAGCTATAATCGTAGGTTTATCTAGTGAATGATGATTAGTGTTTTGAAATTATGCCACAAGTATTATGAACACTTCATCGCCTCTGATTATTAGCAAAGTAATCTGTTGCTAATGTGTTAAATTAATTGCTTAAAGATGATGTAATTACTTTGATTGCATGTGAGTTATTATTTAAAAAAAAGAAGGTATCTGGCGTATAAAATGAGGTAGGGAATAATTATATAATAAAGTCATCGTCTTTTAGTTTTTGTCTTCGTTGATTTGAGGGTTTGTGTCCCTAGATGTACTAATCACAAAAAGCTTGTGGGCACATCACGTGCTTTGTTCCACAATGTGCTGTGGAGAAGGTGGGGTTTGTGACTTCTTATCAATCTATATAGTTTGTTTTCTATATTTAAAATGTTTATCTAGCTCACATGAAAACAAAATTGACTTGACATTGTAAGTACCAAGGAATATACTATTTACACTGAGTATTCATTAGGTCTGGTTTCACATAATGTTTCTTTTTCTTTTTGTAATTTCTCAATATTTGTTTATATATGATTTCCAGGGTATTTTACGAAGTTATTGCCTAAGTACAATGAATAACTGATTATATCGTAAGGATAACATTACTGAGGCTTACTCTGAATGATATCATCGTAATTCGTAAACTCCATGCATATTTTGGTTGATTATTATTAACTACTAGGTAATAACCCGCGCCTTGCGCGAAATGAGATTATTACATTTGGTACTTTTACGATAAAATGATATCATGTCTGTTTAGCATGAATATTAGTTTAGTTTTACGTTGTTTTTTTAATCTCCTAAAATATAACTATCATTCTAAATCTTTATTTATTTTGTTTTGTTTGGTGTAAATGTTTGATGTTTTTGATTTTTTCGATGATAACCAAAAACTATTGTTATTTGTTTGGTTTCGTTTTATATAAATTTTTGATATTTTTGATGTCGAACTAATAGTTTCCTATTATAATTTCTAAAGACATGTAAAATCAAATAAAATCTAAATAATATTTGAAAAAAAAAGAAAAAAAAATTATTAACATAAAAAATTTCACTAAAATTTGAGTGATATTAAAAGAAAACGTTAAAAAAAATTGAACTTCAATATGAATTAAAATTCTCACTTGTGGTGAATATTTAGTTATATAGTCGCTCATGTTAATGTGTACATGTATGTATATGTAAAAGTATATATATGTTATGATAAATATATGAATATACCGTTTATTAAGATTTAAAACATTTTTGTTCAAAATAACATATGATAGTAAGTTCTTAAATAAAATTAAGTAAAAATAAAACAAACCTAGAAATTAATAACATTTTTTCATATGAAGAAAATCAAATTGTACCCGTAAAATAAAAATAAAATCTATTATAAAGTGACATCTTCACTTGGTACCTCAATTATGTTTTTAATCGATTTTGTGATTTTTATTTCTTTTTAAAGCTTTTCTGATTTCTGATTTTTTTTTTACCAATTTGATTTTCTTTCTAATTCTTGGTCTGATATGAAAACTTTATAAAAATGTTAATATTTGACTAAATGAAAGATCCGACTTTACGTGTGGTGTTTTTCACCTCAGCTTCTTTAATTCATAGTCAATCACCTTATTTGTTGTTATTGTGTACCAAAGCCTCAACCATGACCAACTTTGGCAAGATACGAAAGTTTCAATATCCAAAAACATTTTCATCGCAACACTTTAGTTGATGTGAATTTTAATGATTTTGTATTTTTTTTGTATAATAAAGATAGTAGTCATTAGTTTCGCGTAGAAAGTTTTAATTTATTAATACAAAAGCTAAAAATGTAAGAAAAATAAATTAATTAAAAAATAGTGTAGAAATACATTAAATAATGAATTTAAAGAATTAGTGTGTAAACGCATTTATTGTCAAATGATTGTGAAGCCGACACGTGTTAATTATGGTGTGAACGCATTTATTACAATGGTTCTCTTTTAATATATAAGGGATTTGTTGGCACTAGCGAAGATTAACTTTTCAGTGTTTTAGAAACGAGAGAATATGAGTACAAAATTAAAGAGGAGCCACCATTTTTAGGAATAATCAATTTTATTCCAAGTTGATATATATCTACATCAATCACAATCTATATATTGCTAATATATGAAATATAGCAATATCTGCATTGTATATACATACATATATAGCATATCCTGTGTGTGATTATTATTATTATGTATTAACAATCGTTTCTACGAAAAAATCTGATGAATCTCTTCATTTATATTAGTGTTTAGTGTGTATAAATGGTTTCATGATTGCAACAAAAAATTTTAAGGAAAAGAAGACAGTGTTTCCAGAATGTTAAATTGTTAACTGAACGGGAAGAAGAAATTAAATATCATGTAATTATATAAATAAGACTTGACTTATATGGAAAATATTTTCTTAAAAACAAAATGTTTTGATCAGTCATATAAACATTTTTTTCTTAAATAAAGCAATCATGAGTAATGAGACGGACCAAATATGTTTCATCCCATAAGAAGAAATTCATCTATAATTTCGTAATCAAAGAGAAATAAATGACAGATTAAGAGTATAAATGGAAAAGAATAGAAAACTGAAAAAAGAGAGGCAAATGGAACCAAAAAAAATGAAAAGATTAAAGGGAACAAATCACATGAAGTAGTTGGGTAGTGACTTGAGTGTTGGAATAGATGGAGAACCATCTAAGCAATATATATTTTCAACAATATTAATTGCAGCAATTACTTAAAATCAGTTTAAAAGATCAGTGTATATTCATTTACGTTAAGTTTTAATGTGCAGTTCATTTAGTTCAATTATTGGCACATGATCCCAGTCATCACCAACCCATCCAACATTTGTTTAATTTCACCATTAATTTCTGCGGGATTCCTCTCCTTTGGTTGTGAATGCCAACATTACATACACATATCTTCGTATAGTTATATACATATTTGAAAATACACGGTTAAAAGTACATGAACATTAAAATTATGTTCTTACACATATATGCGTATGAATATCTTAGATTACTTAAATCTAGAAATATATTTTATTGTTGTGTTTAACCATAAAGCTTTTTTTTTTTAATTTTAGCAACTACAAATTTGATAAGTCATGAGTTACTTCATATCAGATAAGGACATAGTATTTATTTTATTAATTAATATATAACTCCTAAATAAAGTTTTATAGAAAAACTAACGAATCACAATTCTGCGGGAATTTAATTGTACTGAGGTTTTTTTTTTTCTGGCTATGCCCCCATATTTGACTATATTGTTTGGCTTATAGTCATCAATATTTCAAAAATATTGCCAAAACATATATGATATTTTCGTGTTTTTATTACTATCAAAAGCTTATATATCTTATTAAAATTCGTCACGGTGAAATATGTTTATGAATCTATACATCTCTAAACATTTAGATAGTTAAGTAACCGATGAGCTAGGTCAAGATTCCTTTCTTCATCATGATGATAGTATATATTCTAATTTAATGTCACATGCGACGGATCTAAGAAGATGGTTAAATCGCCCTTCATGTGCGCATGGTTAATCTCATTCACACTTTTATCATATAGTATAAATCAATTCTATTATGGAGAAGATGATTAACATAGTTTTTGGTAAGGAAATTAGTAACACTTAATATCTTATCACTTTGATGTCATTGTGTCCACTACTACCTGGTAACTAAACCTATATGCTTGCTTCATTGGGAATCTACCTATTAGAGATCTTAACTAACTCACATTATACATGCAACTAGATCACAAGCACACATATATAAGGTATATATACCAATTTATGCTTTCTGAATCGATATTTTAACTGAAAGATGATGAAGAAAATTTAAAATACAGCCTCTATATTATTTAAAGATGTTTTTTCTTATAAAGTTTAATTAAATATCTAAACCCATAAGCTCACAAGTTCATGCACCTTGGAGTTTGTTAGATTCTTTGGTGAAAATACATATTGTTTAACACATGGGAAAAAGATATCGAACCATCATAATTATAATATGAAGAAAAAAAAATGCACAGTAACTTAAGTTACAAAAAAAAAAAATGCACAGTAACTTTACACAATAAGCGTAGAGTTGCACAAGGTGAAGTATGGAACCATGCAAGTATGATGTATCATTACTTTTCTAAAAGAAAAAAGTATGATGTATTACTATTACCTTTCTTCCGCCAATTTTTTTTTTTTTGAATTTCGAAACGAGATCATTTCAATACTATTAGATAAAATTGTTATTAACTTGCTACTATCTATAATGCTTGGTCTCTTTTTGGATATAATCAGTCGGTACAACCCATGTTAAATAGTCGTTGTTACAAGTTACAACATTAAACATAATCAAGAACCGAGAAGAAAAACGATATGCTAAAGCTCTAATGGCAAAAAAGATTTTTATACTTTTAAAAAGGCGAATGGGCTC